AGTACGTCTTGAGAAGGTCCCGGACGTTCAGACCTGAATAGAACATAAATTTGACATCTCCAGAACGTCGAGTGCCTTATGGGATACAACTAATTGCCTTTCCCATTTTATAATTGAACACTGCATACAAGGTGATTCGAAATTCGACCGACAACGCTTGACAGTTCCCAGATAGCACAAATTCCTTTTGAGGCCCTTCTGAGGCGTTCACAATCATGTCCTCAGGACGTCGAGAGCGAGCCTGAGGACATTCTCAAGACGTCCTCCTGTTACCATTCTCTACATACTAATAACGTCTCAGAACATCCCTATAAAATCTTTTGAGACAACCTCAGGACATCATGGTAACAACTTGAGGCGGTTTTTGATGATGTTTCAAGGAGGTTCAAGATTTATGGGAGAATATTATTCGTATACAGAATGAGTCACTATAGTGTGTTCTCCTCCGATATTAGCCAAACCGTCAGAATATATATAAAATGAAAATTCAAGTACAACAGTAATAGGGTTTCATAAGAACAATCACCTAAAGTTGTTTTCATATCTATAGGGTGTTCGAATTCCAAGATATCGGTAGATGATTGGTTTTTTTCAATGGAACACCTTGTATATTATTGCATTTTTGGGTTTTCCCTGAAGAGTTGATTCCATCAATGCATCACACTTGGTGTCTACAGTGGGAATTATTACAGAGATATAGGGTGTTGACAATTGAGATTCTTCAAATGTAGGATTTTTTGTGTCGAAACTATTCATTAATGGTCAAAACGGCTCATATGTTCCTGTCATAACTTTTGATTAGCTATCTACTGATATTTATTTGGAACAGATACAATAAGCTGATCAGTATTCTGAATCCCTCTATTTGTTCCGATTGAATGTCAGTAGATAGTAAATCGAAAGTTTATAAGGATATGTGAGCCGTTTTGACCAATATTGAATAGTTTCCCAAAAAAAATCCTAAAATTGAAAAATCTTGTTTTTGAACACCCTATATCTCTGTAATCATTCCCGCTAGACCCCAAGTGTGATACATTGATGGAATCAGCTCTTCAGGGAGAACCTAAAAATGCAATAGTATAGAGGGTGTCCCATTTGGAAAAAAACAATCATCAGTCAATATATCTTGGAATTCGAACACCCTACAGATATTTATGAAACAATTCAATGTGAAAGTTCTCATGAAACCCTATTACTGTTGTACTTGAATTTTCTCTATTTATCTGATGGTTTGGCTAATATACAAGGATAACACACTATTGACTCACCTTGTATTATGCAAATGATAATTTCTTCAAAATAATATGGATCTCATGATATTTGCAAAATTTCCCTCTATTTATAATAGGTTCAAATGAAAAACCAAATGAAAAACTTACATTCTATTATTTATAACTTATTCTGAAAAAATTCAATTTCCTTTTCAAAGAAATGTATTTCAGCTTCTTGTTGAGCACTACTAGAAGTTATTGCCTATTGATAGTTATATTTCTCCATGTTGTTTTTGATTTCTGAACTCTGGAAATTCCTGATGCAGAATAATCAACTGGAAGTTGAAGCCTTCATGCAATATTTTATAGATTCTGAAGAAGCAAAACTATCTTGGAATGAAAATATCATCAGGTTTGTGTTTTGCATAACCTTCTGAAACAAACAATGTATTAATATTTTATGTCCAGTACTTACTATCAATGATATGATTTATGTAGTTATAGGTAGGTACCAACCATTTTTGAATCTACTGAAAGTTCAAGTCTGCATATGTATAATCTTTAATAATTTCCAAAGAAGCCAAAATATCTTGGAATAAAATATCTCTGCTCTGATGATATCATTTTGTGTTATCAATTACCTCCTGAAACAAATAATGTACCTATTAATATTTCATGTTCCAGTCCCTACTATATCAAAGATTTGATTTAGGTACCTACCTTTATTGAATATACTGAAAGTGCAAACATATGCATATGCAATCTCACATAGATTTCGAAGAAGCCAAAATATCTTGGAATGAAACATCTCTGCTCTGATAACATCATCAATCTTGTCTTCTCAATAACTTCATCTGAAACAAATAATTAACCTATTAACATTTCATGTCTAGTACCTATACTATATCAATGATTTGATTCAGGTACCTACCTTTATTGAATTCTTACTGAAAGTTCAAGCTTCCATACAATATTTTATAGATTCCGAAGAAGCAAAGCTATCTTGGAATAAAACATGTTTGCTATGATGATATCATCAAGTTTGTGTTCTCAATAACCTCCTGAAACAATAAATAATGTATATGAATGTATCAATATTTCATGTCGGTACTATCAATGATTCTATTTAGTATTTACTCACCATTGTTTCTTGCTACCTGAGAGAAATGTCATCAACAGAGATTATCATCCTTTTGTTATTGTTATCTTTTAATTCTGTGCAATAAGTTCTTCTCGCAATCATTTTATGAAATAGAAATTTGATGAAGGTATTCAATGAATACTCTAATAATTTTGATATAATCATCAATATATTATGATGTATCTTGAACAAATCATGACTATCATGAGACATAACCTCAATTCTAGTTCTTCTTTTTCTTCCTTTTGTCTTCGATGACACGTTATTTCATGGAATGTCATCTGAAGACGTCCTTAGGCACGAAATCCTTTACATCCTCAGGCTGTCACTGAAAGAACTCATTCAGGACAATTACAGCGCTAAATTTACGCCTGATGATGTTCTTAGGTTGTAGAAAATAGAACGTCCTCTCCAGGCGTTTGGCGACACATTGAGGATGACCTTAGGCGAGTGTGTGCTATCTGGGTTGATAGTTCTCGTGATTCTATGATAAGTGAGATGTGGACCTTTGGTCTTCAATTGTCCAGTTCCCGAGATACATGGTGTTGAAGTTGTTGAATAAAAATAGTTTCTTTTCAATATCTCAAGAATGATTGAATATTTTGTTTTTGAAGTCGATACATGGTTTTCATCGAATGGATCATTTTGTGACCAAAAAGTAATTCCAGACATTTTATCTTGTAATGCGCTACAGGGATTTGAGATCACTTTTCCATCCATATTTTCTACACCAGTGATGGATATTCTATCATTCTCAATATCTTGAATTCATTGTTCAATTTGACTGAGCTAAAATGAACAGTTTTCGAGATATTTGACCCAGAATAGAAGTTTGCATAGTTATTCTTTCATTATTTTCAGTCGCAGAAAATGACAAATAGGTATTTATTATACAAGAGGAAAAAGTTGTAGATTTTAGCTCGAGGTTGTGTTGTTTTGTTGGGACAAAATACCGTGAGATGAAATCTAATATTACTTCCGTGTATAATACGCAATTTCTCCCTGTGACAGGATAAAAGATGCAACAATATTGAGAAGATATCACATCATATTGAAACAAGAGAAGTATCGACATGGCGTATCAGTTACTTTCAAACCGAACTTTTTTTGTAATCGATTCAATTTCCTAGGGAACTGACTGCATAAATGAAATAACGGACATCAACCGTTTGAGTGTAATCTATACTCTCATTGACCATCATTAGATATTCAGCAAATATTCATCGTATAGTTCTGAGCGCAACTACAGTGTGTCCCACTTTGAGCAGCACCACCTTGGTATTTTCTTAATCGCTGACAGATTTCAAAAGCTTTGTGTTTCAACATGTACTTCTCAATGAGTTCTACATTTCTGAGTATCCAACACTCTGATTGCACTACGACACGACCAACTATGATAAATTGAAAATGTCTAAAATCAGTTAGTGATATCAGGAATTTTCCCAGTGGAAAACTGACATTCTCAACATGCTGAGAAGTTCCTCAAATATATGTGGTCAAATTTTCATGTTGATATCATATACAGGGCGTTATTTATTGTCAATTGATTTTTGATGCTTGAAAATAATGAGAAAAGTATAATTAACATAATGATTTCATGAAGATTCTACCTAAAAACCCATGTTTCATAATGACCTGATACACAGGATGATATTTGAACTACGAATATTTTTTCAAAACATTCATGGTTATTGCTTCGATTGAAATTAAATTTTCTTGTTTTCTTTCCTTGTGTTTCAAATTTGGTAGTTCCTATGTTTATTCCGAATATTTGAAGATGATAATAATAACTTGTGAGCAGAGTAATTTTTTCAATACTACTTATTAACAGAAATGATTCAACTCGTGAACACCCTCTATAATTGCTATTCCCTGAATTTCTGTATTTTCGATCAATCCATTATAATCTATACATTCGAGAATTCGTCTTCTGTTATTTTTTGCCACCTTCTTTAATGTACTAGGAGTAATGTTATGACATGCCACCAAAATTCTTTCTCGCAGTTCTTCACTACTTCTGGGTCTAGACTTATGAACTTTCTGCTTTAAGATACCCCATGAAAAGAAATCAAGGGGCGTCAGGTCTGGCGATCATCCTGTGTATTAGGTCATTATGAAACATGTGTTTTTAAGTAGTATCTGAATGAAATCATAATGTTAATTATAGTTTTCTCATTATTTTCAAGCATCAAAAATTAATTGACAATAAATAACGCCCTGTATATGATATCAACATGGAAATCTGACCATATGTATTTGGGGGAGTTCTCAACATGTTGAGAATGTCAGTTTTCAGCTGAAAAAATTCCTGATATTACTAACTGATTTTAGGCATTTTCAATTTATCATAGTTGGCCGTGTCGTAATGCAATCAGAGTGTTTTGGATACTCAGAAATGTAGAACTCATTGAGAAGTACATGTTGAAAATTTTTGAAATGTGTCAGCGATTAAGAAAATACCAAGGTGGTGCTGCTCAAAGTGGGACACACTGTATAATAACTTCGTAGATCCAAAACGTTTCATGAAAAAAATTGGACAGGAAAAAAAAGCTCGAAGTCTCTATTCTTGATAACAACCGAGAACTTTGTCAATCTCACCCTAAACAGAATGTACTGTGATTATTGATTATTCATTTATTCTCTTACAGAGTACCATGATTCAGCTCCTAGCGCACCAGAAGAAATATACCATGGGTCACCATCTGGTCCAGATCACGATTACCATGTACCAGAGAATTATCCTCCTCCACATCATCCTGGTGAGTGAATAAAAAATTTCAAATTTGAAAATTTTCAGAACATATATGGCGTGGCCCCATGGTAGGATTGATTCCGGCGGAAATAATAATAATAATAAACGTCTTCATTACTTCTGAATAGAAAATGATATATAAAGTATATATGGGTGGATAATAATTTTCAGAAGCAAAGGGCGAAGTTCAACTCAGTTTCTAGATGACTCCGTCCACTGAATCGCTCTACCACTTAACCCTCAAATACCTTTACAATTCAACATATAGGAACAGCAATGAAAGAAATTTGAAAAAGTGAAAATGATAACATGATAATAAGTGAAACATGAAACAGAAGTGAAAATATATTCGTTTTGAATTTATGAAACACTGCTGATTTTAATAATTGATGTGGAATATCATTGTAAATATGGCATATTTGATGAACTGAAGCATCTTCGGAAAAGTTCTGTTTTGAAAGGGGGAGGAGACAGTACTCCTCTAAACCATTTATTCACATTATGAACGTCCGTACGGGAAACAATTTTTTATGGAGATAGGAAGGTTTTTTACTGATGATAATTCTATGAAAGAGGTTAGCGGTCTGATGAAGTCTCCTGTTTTCCATAGTCAGCCAACCAGCATCTTTCATCTTATGAGAGATTCTCTGGCCTCTTCTCATTCCATACATCAGTTTCAAGCATGAATTCTGGAGCTTCTGTATCTTATTTTTGTAGAGTTTTGTTAAATGTGGTCCATAGACACAATTGGCATAATTGAAATGTGATAAAACGAGAGTTTCACACATAAAAACTTTCAATTTGGAAGGAAGAACATGCCTAACACCATAAAAAATATTTTTCAGCGAGTGAAGATGATTCGATAAAGAAATAAACAACTTCCATCAACCAAGTAGTGAAAAAGCGTAACAACTTATCCCGAATGTTTCTCATCATCAACTTAACTGAACTTTCATTTATGTTGAGATTTTCATAAGTAATGGGACAGTGTACTCATTTGTTTTTCAATTCATCATGCTCAAAATTTACACTACCTTATTGATATTAATGCTCTTGAGGTCCCAAAATATCTAATAAAGTATCTTCTGTAGTAGTCCATGCTCAAAGTGGAGTGGAATGATCAATAGAGAAAAAACTCGAAGTCGTCTCCACAATTTTTAATGTAAAATCAGGTAGTCAATCCTGCTTAATTAAGGTTGATACATGTTTAAGCCATTCAAATGGCCATCTTCAGTCAGAAGAATATAACAAAGTGTATCTACAATAGAAAACCAAACATGATTTTATATATAAGAAAAATTGAAAATGGAAAAGACAACAATTGTGAATTCAAATTGAATTGATTAACAAATTCCAGTTAGATCAAAGAGCAACAGTGATTTTTATGAGTATACAATGATAATTGATCAGTAATTGATAATAAAAGTGAAAAACAAAATTTTATCAAATCAAAATTCTGAAAAAAAAAATTGAGAACCATAGATAAGAAGATTGTACTCACGTGGAAATTACTTCAATGCATCGTGAAGTAATGCATTCCATAAGGAATTCATAATATCTCATCTGATGCTATAGATTTGACGAATTCCGTTGAAAAAAATATAGATTTCCTAACTCATACCACCTCATACTCACAATTATTGCTATTATGTTTTCTCACGTCAAAAAATCCTAATTGCATATTGGATTGACGTTTATTCCAATATGTGAAGTCTTGATCATATTACCTCGTATGAGCCTCATGAGGACTTACTGTATTCATCTTCATTAGTATGAAAAACATTATACCGAATTCATGGCAATTCTACAGTCTCTTTCATATTTCATCGTATGAATCTCATGGAAAGCTACCCAGCAAACATTGAACTAGCGGGAGAAGTCCGGCCTAGTGCAGGTTAGTCTGGGAAAGTGACGATGCTGGGGTATAGGTAATGGGCCGATGATTTTCCCATGCCAAGTAACCATCAGTTAAAAATACGATGATGGCCTTGTGATGGTAAGATGTCTGGAACTAATTGAATACTAACGAGATCTGGCCCTTTGCTGGCCAATTTCATATTCACTACTCGTCCCCCTGGCGGATGTTTTGGGAACGTCTACATCAACAATCAGCTGATCAATATCATATGTGACTAAGATGGCTGACTCTCGTGAGTGGTGATCGCGTACTAGTTTGTTTATGTCGAATTAATGTGGTCCTCTCTTTCCGTGGTGGTTATTTATGATGGCAGGAGTATTCTCAATCGATAATAAGTGAGTATCAATGTACCTACATAGTGTTTTGAATGTCATTATTTGATGCATGTGTTTGGTATCTCGTATAACCTAATGATTATGATAATTAGAGTTAACTATACTTCTCTAAATGCAACCATCATTTTTAACTCGTTTGTTGCTATCAAAAGCAATCTCAGGTTATGTGAACCTATCTCTATATTGAATAACTGAATAACAATAAGATTTCAGCTACAGAATTACCTGTGCCAACACCATAATGAGAATTAAAAAGCTCCATGCTATCACGTCATTTGACTATATTATGAAGTTATAAACTCATGCAACTCATAGGCCACTAATATTAAACAAATGATGCATTTTATATTTCAGAAGTACCTCACAACAAAGAATCAACTTCGAAGGAATGCTACCCAATAAGATGTAGATACCACACACCAACCAGTAAGCAGTCACTCCGAGAAGTTTCATCGTTGAAGAACAGAGAGGTTAAGAAGATATCATTGTGTCATTCATAAAATTGTTTTCTTGGAATCTGGTATGTGTCTGATTTATGATGAGAGAGTTATGTTGTGAAATAAAGAGGTACTAGAACTTTCAGATCCATTGGACCCCTAAAACCCCTACCACTCCCCTACCTCGATAGTATGTAACCAATGTCGTTAATTGGCCATTACAGTCCCATCATTTATGTATATGCTGGGCTTGCTATGGGAAGCTCAATGTGTCGATTATGTTGTACTGGCCTTTTGCCGGGGAACTGAATATGATTGCTGGGTACCCAGCACTGGGACCAGCTGCCGGCCGCAGTGTACTGATATATAGAGTCCCGCATATGGGACCATTTACTGGGCCGCTGATGTCAGGTATGGGAAAAATATACTAGGCCATTGATGCCCCATATCAAGATGTTTGCTGGGTACTGTATTTATACATTTCACAAATTTCGACAATGACCGACACTATATTTCTTTTTCGGAACATAGCGATTTTCATCACGTTCAACTAACATATCCTTCTCAATCCCGGGACAATCTGGACAATTTTTTATCGCACCTTGTATATCCATCGTGAATAGGATATTTAGTTTTGATCTTCTCCTGGAGATGCTAACATAGTTAGCGAAACACGTGTCGAGGCGTTAAAAAATCGGTTTGGTTAGTGGTAAAACAGTGTAGTGTACTTTCTTGCCTGTTCAGATGAGATAGAAAAAAGTACTTCAATTAGTAGATTAAAGAAAACGTAAACACCAATCCACCATTGAACAACACGAGTAGAAGGAAGACAGGTTACCGTAAATCATGCTATCTTTGTTGCAGCTGCCCCTGACACACTTTGTGCTATTCGAGAGAACGGCCGTCTCCCTTCCAGGTGTTTATATTGGGTTCATTGATCAATAGTGATGATGAATTCGTTTATTCATTGGATTATTTTAGTCATAGGTTATCTATGATAATATGATAACTTCATTTTGTTATCTGTAATAATTATAAACATTGCCTCCGTGGCGCAATTGGCTAGCGCGTTCGGCTGTTAACCGAAAGGTTGGTGGTTCGAGCCCACCCGGGGGCGGCAATTTTTTTAGTTCGAAAATGTTTTTGAGTTCTAGAGAATTTCATATTCATTCTACTCCAGTTACGTACCTGATATGAGAACTCACCTACAAACCTTTCTAGCGACCCAGAAGATAAATAAAATCAGAAAATCTGTTCGATGATATGCAAAATGTTTAATATCTGGTATACTTTTTTTCAGTATCATTCAAAGGTCATGAATTCGTCAGCAAACTGTAGATTCAATGACAAATTATTGAATAACTGAGGATTTCAAAAATAGTAGATTGTTTCATTAGGATCAACCTAACCTGACACTTGTGTTTGACAAGCAAATTTTGCATTTGCGAGGCGAAGCGTCTAGCGAAGCCAAACGAAAGCAAAATTCGTGAGTCAAACAAAGTCATTTCTGAGCCAATTGTTACATAATGCTATTTTTTCTGCAACCGATAGAATTAACCAAAATAAATATATGAAGTGACCTCCAATGTGACTTACTTGACAGATCATTATAATACCTTCAATATAATGAAATATGTAAGTACATAGAAGCAAGACCTCAGACCACTTTACATCAGAATATTGGTGCATCGACGATGACTTAACTTTGTTACAATTTGTGTTGACATCAGAAACTACAGTCATGAATTGAATACTATATATACCCGAAACGTGGATGCCGTGACATAAATGTATGCGATGTATCAAATCATCCGTGTGGTGAGATTATTCTACATGCATTCACAGTTCAAGAATTGTATTTTCGATATAAATAAAACCACAGAGTGAGCCATTTGTGTATTCTATCGCATCGAGGCAGCGATGAATTCATTTGGACAAGTTCTCTCTGCCCTAATATAAAATACCGTGCCATTGTCAGGAACATGTTAGGTTAGTAAGCATATCAACAATAATAATTATTGCGACTGTATTTCTTTTCATAGTCCACTGTGTTTGGCTCGATAATCAGATTAAAGTGAATACCCAAGTAACATTTTGAATGGCTTGTAGCCCTACTTTTATGAAAAATAGGTGCATTTGCGAACGGCAGCTCTTCGTCAGTAGGCACTATGGGTTCGAGTTATCAAAATGAGTTAAAATAGCAAAATTTCAGTTATCTAGCAATCATAAGGTTAAACAAAAAAGGTGGGGCGACACTGCAACTTTTAATTCAAAAGAAAAGTTACCTGGAAAGTTGAGCAACCAGATAATGAATAAT